AGCAAACGGAACCGCAATTCACACGTACGGTTCCAAAGCTCTCACATTAAATCTCGGCCTCCGACGCTGTTTTACGTGGGATTTCGTCATCGCCGACGTAGCAAAGCCCATCATCGGAGCCGATTTTCTAGCACATTTTGACCTGCTGGTCGACTTGAAAAACCGTCGACTGGTAGACCAGGTAACTAACCTGACTGTGCCAGGACGCAAAATCAACCCACACGAGGTCTGCGTCAAAACGATTAAAGGAACTACGCCGTATCACGCATTACTCAGCGAGTTTCCTGACATCACAAGGCCAGACGGACGACCTCGGCAGACTAAACATGGCACTCGCCATTTTATTAAAACTACGCCAGGACCTCCAGTAGCTTGCAAACCACGCAGGCTAGCACCCGATAAATTGGCCATTGCTAAACAAGAGTTCCAAAACATGATTGAACTCGGCATTGCAAGGCCTTCGAAAAGTTGCTGGGCATCACCTCTTCATCTTGTCCCCAAGAAAGGGGAGAATTGGAGACCATGCGGGGACTATCGAGCAGTCAACGCACGCTCGATACCGGATCGGTACCCCGTGCGCCACATACACGACTTTGCACAAGCACTGGAGGGCACCCGGATTTATACCACTCTCGATTTGGTACGGGCATATCACCAGATACCCGTCGCCGAGGAAGACATCGAGAAAACAGCAATCACTACACCCTTCGGCATGTTCGAGTTCCCGTACATGTCGTTCGGGTTACGCAACGCAGCACAAACCTTCCAACGGTTTATTGACGAGGTATTGCGTGGACTAAGCTTTTGCTACGCATACCTCGACGACATCCTAATCGCATCGAAAACGGAGGAAGAGCATCTGGAGCACCTCCGCATTCTCTTCGAACGCCTGAACGAGTACGGCGTTGTAATCAATCCTGCAAAAAGTGTTTTTGGACGCTCCCAAGTAACCTTCCTCGGTTACCTGGTGAATTCGGAAGGTACACAACCGCTACCTGACCGAATCAAAGGATTACGGGAGTACAACTTACCCAAAACGGCCAGAGAACTCAGACGTTACCTGGGTATGTTAAACTTCTATCGAAGATTTATACCCAGAGCCGCAGCAGCGCAGGCACTACTCCATGATCTTCTCGG